CACGACCCTTTCATACAGTTCCTCATGTTGTGGTGACCCCCCAACCATAACACTATTTTTGTGGCTACTTCTTAACTGTAATTTTGCTACTGTTATGAATCGTAATGTAAATACAATCTGATATGCAGGATATATTGGGAGATCCCTGTGAAAGGGTCGTTCGACCCCCAAAGGGGTGGCGACCCACAGGTTGAGAATCTCTGAGCTACTATTGTTTGGTCAAGGCGTCCTGGCGTCTTAGTGGCTATGTCGTGTTGGACTGCCAACACCCAGGTCCGAGAAACCAGCTGCTGTGCTGGAGAAAGGTGAGCCTTTCTGCCCCAGTGAAGAGTTACAGCCTTGGAAACCCACAGAGGCAGTTCTGCCCTGTCCTGTAGAGTTGCTATGAGTTGGAATCACCTTGATGGTAGTGAGTTTGGTTTGGTTATTATTTGGTTTAAAATTTAAGGATTGTATCACAGTAGTAGTTTGGGGGTCCCCGTAGCTTGGTGGATGGAGAGTTGTGCTGCTAACTGCAAGGTCAGTGGTTTGAAATCGTCTGATGAGGCTTTCTGCTCCTGTAAAGACTTAGTCTCAGAAACCAACAGGGGCAGTTGGACCCTGTCTTCTCGGTTTGCTGTGAGTTGAAATCCATTTGATGGCAGGGAGTTTGAGGGAGTGCACTGTAGGGGTTCACCCAGCCTCAGCGGCTCCAGGAAGCCTGGATTCCAAGACGATGTGAAGTTCTGGCCTGCATTTCCCCTCTTTGATCATGATTCTATTTGATCAGTCTTTGGTCAAAACCTTAAATGAATACACGCATTGCATTTAGCCATTCCTTTTTGATTATGCATTTACATTTTCTTTCTAATTTTTTTTCCATTTGCAATTTCAAAACTGCCAGTGAACCCTGCCACACATCTAGTGTGGCCGGTGTCTTTCTATAGGTATACCTAGCAGCAAATTGTTATCAGCAAATGTAATTACCCAGTCATGGGGTAAAATGTATTGGAAAGTTTGATAGCCCATCCGAATTGCCTTCCAAAAAGGTGGCAGCAATTTCCCCTCTCTCTAACAGTAAATGAAAGTCGTCATTTCCCCAGTCCCAGGTCACAGCGTTTTATTCCAGGTTATGTGATTTACCCAGAGCTTCAAGGTGGAATAAAGCTTTTAAATTATTTCTCCCCCTTCTACACATTTCATCAATACTAACATAGTCTAATTTAAAACACTTCACCCCCTTAAGTAAAAGTCAGCAAAAGTCAAGCTGTTTAATGTATTCCCCTCTCTCATTACTTAGCACAGTGTGATCCATCTCAAAAATTAAAAAAGATAACCGATTTGTAAGCCTTTTCTATTAATGAAGTCCTCATGCCTCATAATAAAAGAAACATTCAATTTGCCTGTGGAAGAGTCACTAGGAATTGCAACTTAATAACAGAGTTGACATGCTGGTTTGATTCTTTTCATTTGTGTAGAGAATTTGTATTCTGAATTAAAACTTCACTAAATGGGCTTATCTTTTCGAATTTATCACCAGGAAATCCTTTTTCTCACAAGTCAGATCTGGCATAAATAGAATACCCATTTAAAAAAGTGTTCTCTTCTTTTGCATCATGTGGAAAGGCTGTCAATCACTCTGATTTCTTTGTTATCCTTGCTTCCACGGAGCACAGGATGGGCTTAAAGTCCAAACATAGCTGGCTTTGAAGAAGCTAGACATACAACTATGAAGTGTTGTACTAAGATATGTAGTCTCTGGAAAGTTTGACAGAAGCAGTCAGCAAACATGTCAAAGAACTAAATGATCTTAGGTGTTGTTGTTTGTTTTGTTTTTTCATAAGAGATATAGTGGTTTAGCGGTGACACATTGGGGGAAAAGATGGGCATTTCTACTCTTGTGAAGAGTTACAGCCGCAGAAACTCAAAGGGGCTGTTCTATCCCGTCTTATAGTGTCATGGTGAGTTAACGTAGACTCATGCAGTGAATTTGGTTTTTTGTTTGTTTGTTTGTTTGGTTGGTTGGTTAGTTTTAGTTCAAGTGGTAACTGGTAACAGATAGTTTTTTTAAAATCCAATAGTGTATTCGCCAAGAATATAGCAGATTCCCACAGTATACATTTTAAATCTTTATATTGAATATACTGTAATATATTAATAAACCCTGGGCTTCCAATGAAATTATCCTTGGTTTTGAAGTTACCTTGAATGTTTAAAAAAGGAAAACTATAATTGGATGACCTCTAGCATATAAAACCATTGCCCTCCTCCTATTTGATTACAGCTAGATACTGGAAATCAGCCCCATTAATATCTTTTTAAACAGCTGCCACTGCATTTTGTGGAGCTTTAAGTTAATTATGGAAATGAGGTACTGTAGGTTATTACTTATCAGAGTCAAAGTTTTGTGTGTAATCAATGTTTTCTTAAAGGTTCCACTGTGTATAGCTCATAGGGCTCTGCTTATTAGTCCAATGAATCTGTCTTTAAAACCTACCATCTCTCTACCTCCTCAGCCCTAAATATAATCAGAAAGCCTTGAAATACCCTATAAACAATGCTCAAACTAGCTTCTCTTTGAAAGACTTTTGCGTGATGAGACTCTATCACATAATTAATCTTCCAAGTAACCTTTCAATTCCTCTCCATGCATTTATTAAGTATTTTTAGAAAGTAGTGAACTATGAAGAAATGTGACATTCATATTTAGGGCTTTCCTGCACCAAATAGTTCACAGAATCAGGTAATGGTTTCTGGTAAGGAATACTGTATTTTTATTTATTGGTTAGTCTGTTTCTTTCAAAGATCCCTGCAACCTGTAAAGGTAGCACTCAGCTGGAAGAAAAATGAACAATTTGTTGGGGGGTGGGGGGTGAAGAGGAAAATGAGCCACACACA